GCCTGATGGAGAATGAGTGCATTCCATTAACAGATTTAGGCTTCAGAAGGTGGATAATAAGAAACTTCTGTGAGTTAAAAGAGCATTTTCTAGCCCAATTTAAAGAAACTGAGAACCCTGAAAAACGGTTTGACGAAATCCTAACAAGAACAGACAATCTAGAGAGGAATATAAGTGAATTAATGGAACTGAACAATACAATACGAGAACTCCGCGAAGTATGCACAGGTTTTAACAGTCGAATTGATCAAGCAGAAGAAAGGATATCAGAGGTCGAAGACCAACTTAATGAAATAAAACGAGAAGACAAGATTAGAGAAGAAAGAACAAAAAGGAATGAGCAAAGTCTCCAAGAAATATGGGACTATGTGAAAAGATCTAATTTGCGTTTGATAGGTGTACCTGAAGGTCATGAAGAGAATAATCCAAGCTGGAAAATATTCTTCAGGACATTATTCAGGAAAAGTTTCCTAACCTAGTAAGGCAGGAAAATACTCAACTTCAGGTAATACAGAGAACACCACAAAGATATTTCCTCAAGTAGAGCAACCCCAAGACACATAATCGTTAGATTCACCAGGGTTGAAATAAAGGAGAACATTCGAAGGGCAGCTAGAGAGAAAGGTCAGGTTACCCATAAAGGGAAGCCTAAGAGACTCACAGCAGATCTCTCAGCTGAAACCCTGAAAACTAGAAGAGAGTGGGGGTCAATATTCAATATCCTCAAAGAAAAGAATTTTCAACCCAGAATCTCATATCCAGCCAAATTAAGCTTCATAAATGAAGGAAAAATAAAATTTTTCGCTAACAAGCAAGCACTCAGAGATTTCATCACCACCAGGCCTGCTTTACAAGAGCTTCTGAAGGAAGCACTATACACAGAAAGGAACAACCAGTATCAGTCACCCCAAAAACTTACCAAAAGGTAAAGAGTATCTCCATGATGAAGAATCTATATCAACTAATGGGCAAAATAGCCAGCTAGCATTAAATAACATTATTAAACTCACAAGTATCAATATTAATCCTAAATTTAAATGGATTAAATGCCCCAATCAGAGACACAGACAGGCAAATTGAATGAAAAGTCAAAACCCATCGGTTCGCTGTATCCAGATCCATCTCATAAGCAAGGATGCACAGAGACTCAAAACAAAGGGTTGGTGGAAGACTTGCCAATCAAATGGAGAG